CCAACTGCACCGAAAAATGTTTCACTGAAGGTAAAGAGGGAATTCGGAATGTGTAATATACCCTGAGGCCAAGATTGGAACCATCCCAAGGACCGAGTGGAGGCAGCTCGGCGAGGGGTGGGTATTCTGCACTTTTGCTACTTCTAATGAGCGTTTCCATCCATCCAGAGCCTTTTCTTGGGTTGACAGGTTTACCATGGTGGCTCGACGAGCTTGCTCCAGCTTCACAAGAGTTCACAGGTTTCACCAGAGTGAGACTTGTAAACCGGAACTAGTAAAGCAGCGAAAGTGCAAAATGCCCCCTTCACCGTCGCCCGCCGACCGATTGTACAGAAAAGACTGCGTGAATACAAGATTGATAAGAAAGATGAGTATGAATGGGCTCGGTGAATCACAGATGCTGTCCGTCACATCACTACAAATGCAAACATAACTGTGATCGTCCTGGACAACATAAACAGCCCGTTCTATAAATATTAATCAATAATGACCTTTATCGCTGTTTATCGGAGAAAAAATGATGTGTGAGAAGGCGATCGTGTGAACAGGACTATCGTTGCTCCGAGAAAAAAACTGCTCGGCAATAATCGATATTAACTGATATTCGTTATATACCGTGACTTCAGATAAAGATACACAGGAAAAGATCAATCGCACCTTTTCCTTCTTCTCAACGAGCGCTCTCCGTTCCTTATCAAACCTTTCCTTCCAGGCTCGAAATGATTCAGGCGTCACGGGGGTACCTGGAAAGAAAGAAAACTTTTTAAATGACCAGGTGTGAGGTTCTGACTCTCATTCCACGTAAAAATGAAATTACCCATATTTTTCAATAAAAACTCGTACTTCGCTGGCGGGTAAAAGGAAGATTGCGAACTAACCGGAAACAAGTACTTTTGACATTATTAACCCTTCACTGCCCCATTATCCGCAATTCAGGCCATGTTTTGGGACAAGTTCTCTCCCCTCCCCATCAGGAGGTAGCTATGGATGGCAAAAATTTGGTCAAAGGTGTAGCTTGACCTCACCAACACGAATACAACATTCGCTTGGCACAACCTAAGGTAAGCATACCAGCAGAGGGGCAGCGCCAAAACTGGCTTACAGGGCGGATCAGCCTCTTCTACAAATCTTCGACTCTATAAATAGCCTTCTACATCACATTTGTGTTTGGGCTGCGTTCATACTCTGCAGCAGCGAGCGCCAGCGTCCGAGCGTCCATCAGCGCCAGCGACTAGGAAAAAGCAGATATCAATTCAGCGCCCAACAAAGTCCATCAGCGTCTGCCAGCGCCAACCAGCGTTGAGGAGTGGAGAGGAGTATGGGGAAGTAGTAGGAAGCAGACAGCTGGATTAGGCGTCGTGACATTGCGGCGTGTGCAACCGCACCGTACACAACACCCCACATTAAACTGCATAATGCTGTGCTTCGGCAGTAGTATTGCGACTGCATACGTCGCAAGTTTCATGACGCATAATCCGACTGTCTGCTCCCTCTTTCATCCCCATACTCTACCAGCAGTCAGCTACCCTCCTACTTCTCACTCTATATTCCTGGACGCTGGTGGTCTTTGGTAGACGCTGGTGGACACTGGCGTTCGCTAAAACGATACTTACACTTTCTTAGTCGCTGGCGCTGATGGACGCTCGAAACGCTGGTGGTCGCTGCTACAAAGTATGAATGTAGCCTCAGTGGTCAGGGCAGTCCTGAGCAGTAAGCCACATACCATATAAAAGCATGAATGCAATGTGGCCTGACAATGACCTGAGGGAACCAGTTGATGTACAAGGGGTAGAAGGTTTAGTTAGTTAGTGGGCCTTAGCCAATGGGGGCTTGACTCGCTACAATGCGCGCGTGGTAAGCGTGATACTTGCCAATACACCACCAAAGGCCAAACAGCAAAAATTAAAGCCGTTTGAAAATTTCAATCAAAATTTGGACTAAACAGTGAAGAGTGGG